GATAAAAGAAACGGGTTTGAACGGGCTTGGGAGCCAAAGTTACGCCACTGTAGGCTCACAAGCGGCGTTGGGGAAGCCCAGTCTAGGTCACTGCAGCTCAATAAAGCCAGCAGGATCTATCTTCCTTGGCCGATGGAGTGCTCGTGTTCACTTGAAAAAGTGCTTGCGCATTTTCATTCTAGAACCTCCCGCTTCGGCGATTTCCAAAAAAGGTCCATTGTGGACCCTACCGGGCGTTGGCTTCACAATCTTCCGCTGATGGAACGAACCTAGCTTCAGATAAAAGTTGTAAAACCCGGATGACGTCAACAGCACTTTGCTAGCTGCAAGCGTAACATTCCATTAAAAATCAACTTGAAAAAAAAAAAAAAGAGAGAACAAGTAGACATAAAGGCGCTTGTAGTTGGAGCTATCCATTTGATCTTTTGTCGGCATTCGGAGACTGCATTTTGCTCGTGCCTTGTTTCCTGTCCTGTGTTTGGTGACTTGCCTCCAAGTCTGAAATCGATTCAGCTTAGCCCTAGAGTATGACGATCCCTATAGTCGGTTACAAGTCAAGAAGATAGCGGCGAATGCCCCTCAAAAGAATCTTGTATTCCTCCGTCCCTAATCGCGTCCCGTTGTTTCCGTGACGTCACGACCTGCGCGAACCAATCTTGTTTTTGCAAATTAATATTTTCACCATGGCTGCCGGGCAGATTTTCTACGACTCCAGCATCTTGCAACAATTATTCTGCTCCTTCCCGCGGTTTTTCACTTACCCGAGCGCACGTTGCTACGTCGTAAACGTATCCACTTTTTTTCGCAATGGGTTGTGCGCGACAGCGTGAGAATCCAGCGATAGCATTGCCATCGAAAAGCTCCATGCGGGAGTAAGGCCTAGCATCGTACATACCTCGGATGCCGTCTGCTTCGACTACCACAGATTGTGCCTCAACATCGTGACGTCACCGAATTTTCTTCGCATTGGTTTCCCGTTGAACGACGTTAAAATGCGGCTGTCACCAAACTCTTCTTTATAAGATTAGTGGACTGTGCGGGATGGACATAAGTGAACCGAGAACACAGTGAGTGTTTTCACCCGATTTTGACCGTACCTTCGCTTGCGTTAATAAATAGTCTTTCCACTGAAATGACGCCTTCAGAGCAGCATGTATTAATCTGTGAAACGTAGCGTCCTTGGGAAGTTTCCGCGTCGCAATCAGCTGCACGGTAATATATGACTGCGTTCACGATAATGAGCTGTTAGATACATTTGGTATATAAATGATAAAGCCAGTGATGCGTATGTTACAAGCATTTCGTCGATATTGTTCTGGACGTTAAGAAGCTGATGTCTTCTATTGGAAAAATTTCAGAGTATTTTAGGGAAGCAGATTTGGTTCTCTCAAGTGCTTCCCAACATTCTGCTTGCCCTCAAGGGTCCTGTCAGTTGTACGTTTCTGTTTCGGAACCCGGGTACATGACGCGTGTACACCAATTCGCATCGCGGCCTAAAGACTTACCGGAAAACACGGACCAGCTTTCCCGATTTACTTTAGAAGGCATGGTTTGTCCACATATGTTCAATTTCAGCATTGGTTTAATAATTTGTAACAGTTGAAAAGAATGTAAAGAAAAATTGACTGCAAGCGCAGCTTCCCTTCAATTCATGAATTGGGGTTTCTTATATGTGAAATATTGATTTAAATCAGAAACTCATAAACATACCGATTACCCAGATGTCCTGATCTTGGCGCAGATGCAAGCGACATAATGGTTTGTCTTTATAACAATAAAATCAACAATGTTTGAATCAAGCAACGGCTTGAACCGCCTAATTACGTCTCTGACGTAGGTTTATCTCTGCCTTATACCAGGCCGTAGCCGTGAACGAGCTCTTCAGAGTCCGCCATCGTCTTCCGTGTCTACCTTGGCAAAGTCAGACTCACGTAGAAAACATATCGAACTTCTTGGACGCAGCTTCGCAGTCCTCATTTTCAAAGCTTCCATGGAACCATCGGAAAAAAGGGTCCCTGTTTTTCATCAACACATGTTTCATCAACCTTTTATCGGCACTCGTTTCATCGACACTGATCGTTTCATCGACCCTACCACACCGTGCTGTAAAGTTTCATCGACGCGAAAATTGCATGCTGTAGGAACATTTCGTCGTGCGGTTATCTCTAGGGCACGTGTTAAACTATCCGACCCACCGAGTTCACGACGCTTCACGGCGACAGTTTGCGGCACTTCATTACAAAAATGTGAACCCACCCCGTCCGCCCGTACATGCCGCTTCGCGGCAGCGTGAACGGGTGGTCTTGCACCCGTGAATGTAGCCGTGCACTCGCTCACCAACAATCCCAAAGCACGTCTGACAAACAAAAAAAAATTTGTCAACGAAACATATTAAGATGTGTCGATGAAACGATCGTTTGATAAAATGTCGCAGTGTCGATGAAACGAACTGTCAGGAAAATGTCGTTTGATGAAGCGAGTGCCACCGCACAAAAGCCTGTATCCCAGCCGCGTTACTTTAACCCTATCGCAACTGGCATCATTTTTAGATACCTATTTCCAGACAAAATGCACTCTAATCAGAGAAAAGGATTTAATAAATTTCACGTCCTTCTTCTGTTAAAATTCACGACCTAGAATTGGATAAGGAACAGCTGGCTCGTCTCTATCAGACAAATTGAAAAGGTTCTGGACTGGACAAGAAAGACTTGTTATTGGTGCAAAATTATGACGCGTACAGCGAACTCGGGCCTGAGAGTTAAGGGTTAACGTTGCCCGTGGGGACTCCTAATGCTAGGGGTTTGGCGAGTGCACATCGACAATGGGAAGCGACCACTTATCCCTATCGGATCTCGTTGCAAGCCTTATGACCCCAGCCTTCAAAGGGCTCTGCATGATTCGTCGTGTGGGATAACTTCTCAGCAGCCCATTGGACGGATCCTGCGATTCCACTCCAACAGTACATTCCCAGGCATTTCAGGAGGCGGTCGACCTACTTGATCCGGGTGCGAGAACAGATCCCAAATCGTGACCTGCACCTATTTAACCTGGGGACCAGCTGACGGGGCCACTACAGCAGCACCAACGGAAAAGAGGATTATGCCCGTTACAGACCACAGCATCACAAAACCTAGCAACACCTCCATTCCTTCTAAACCGATTTTAGAGGCCATCCAAGCACTCAAAACGGCCACCATTACTCAACACCTCCTAGGTAGCTTTCAAGCCTGCGCGTCACGTGACATGACGTCACGCCCGGGAGGCCTGCACGGGTGCTGATTACATGCGAGTGCCGCGTCGGCGGTCGCCGTGGGGCTCGTGTCCTATCATGGTCCCACGCGAACGCTGACGCGGCACTCACATCCAATCAGCGCCCGTGCCGGCCTCCCGGACGTGACGTCATGTCACGTGACGCGCAGGCTTGAAAGCTATCTAGGAGGTGTTTCATTACTTCAGAGCTTTCGACGTCCCTATTTTGCTCCAAAGCAGAGCACTAGCACTGGGATTTTGCTCTCCACTGTAATAACACTAGTTATTGTTATTGCCAGGATGGCATCAGTCGGGTGAATGGCAACCGGCGTCCCATGTATGCTTGGAAACGAATCACCGGCAATGAGAGTTCGCTGTCCACAGTGGTGACACAGGTTATTGTGATTCTCAGAGCGGCCACAAGGCCTGTCCAAACAGGGCACTTCAGAAATCGTGAGGCGACAGAACTCCGTCAAAAACCTTGGAGGTTGAAGCGTGCGGCAGTCCGATGTCTGTTTAAACAAAACCACGTAAACATCACGACTTTAATCCTCGCTTCCTCCGTTTTTCGGTGGCCTCGGTACTCATCAGACTCGACGTCACATGCCGATATCAAATGCGACGTCTAGGATGGCCTCTAGGAAGACCTGTAGGGCGATCTTAAGGACGACAACTAGGACGATGTCTAGGGCGATGTCTAGGACGACGTCGAGGACGACGTCTAGAACGACATCTAGGGCGATCTTAAAGGCCGACGTACAACCTCTGTTTTCCGCGTGGAAGATAATCCCTTTGGCACTCCCCTCTCGTAAGCTGTGAGGCGAGTCAAGTTGATGCAAGGTAAAAAGTAGAGAGGTTATAGGAAAGGAGGAGGCGGGCAAAAGTAGAAAGCGCGAAGATCACGTCGGCTTTTATGGATGACCTCTAGGACGACCTCAAAAACGACGTCGAGGATGACGTCCTGGAGTATGGCGTCAATAACGACGCGTGAGACGACCTCTAGGACGACCTCAAGGATGACGTCTAGGACGACCTCAAAGACGACCTCTAGGACGACGTCGAGGACGATGTCGAGGTCGTTAGGTCCTTCGAAGAGGTTGCGAATGTAAAGGAGTGTGAGAATCTGAGCTGAAATGGACTACTGCGATTACCTACTCCGCATTAGGAGGCCGGTGTTATCTATGTGACGTCACTTCCGCGACCAAGTTTTCGTTACATCGATCTCCCAACGTTGTTCCCCATTCTAAGGTCAGAGAAGGACGTAGTTCACTGTCAAAATTGGTGCGTGTGTGCTTTGTACGGGGTACATTCTGTGCTTCCTGGTCAAGATCAGCATGATCGAGCTTGTGAAATTTTTTTATTGCGCAGACCTTAGGCTCTTGTTTCCGGGTTGAGGGGTGTCGCCGTCGGCGTCGGCGTAACCGCGCGCGTTGCATTACGGGACGTCACAGTTTTCCCGCTATACGTAGCGGGGAAACTGAATTGGTGTTGAGGCCACGGGACGTCAATTTCCCCGCTATATTTAGCGGGAAATTTAGCGAAAAATTTCCGCTAAACGAGAGCGGAGGAGGAAACGAGGAGGGGAGTGTACGAAGGGTGGATGAGAGGCATACACTCCTCTCCGTACCTTCTCCTCCTCCTCCTCCTCAAAAGCTTCGCTCTATTTCCACCTTACAGGAAATTTGAAACGTCTTGAATTTTTTTTTCTTCTCTTGATTACGATACTTCTCAGTTCGATTTATTTTTTATTACTAATAAACATCTCGCTTGCAGATTGCTGCGCATGAGGTATTGGAATAAAAGTTGTTGTTGTTTCCCTTGCAGCCTTTATAGGTGAACCTAATACATCTGCTCTCTTGTTTATTCCAATACCATCTCAAAGAAGGTTTCGCTCTTTTACAGTCGTGCCCGTCATCTTCTTTCAGATTACACGGATGTCCAGTTCCACCTGCAAAATATCAGTGAAGCGATAAATAGCACGTACCACCTGCTTAGGGTGTTACTAAAGGTTACATAAAAATATATGTGCTAAGAAACGTTTTACTGTTAAGCCTTTGAGGTGCAATAAGTCTAGCTAAAACTTAACAAGCACTGGGGTCATCTTCCTTATAGTTATATGTTATCATGTTTTAGGCCTACAAGTCCTGATATACGATCACAATAAAACAGTGGCGCCTGTTTCTTTTTGTCTATACGGTGCCCGTAGAGGATATGTACCCTTACACAATTATTTATTTAACATTTTGGGCATATTAATATCTTAATTAAGGAATTAAGCAATATGAGTAACGCGTAAGATTCACTTGCAGAACTATGCTCGCTGTTGCACAGCCTGTTTCACGAAAGGCTGAACTTACTTATAAACGGGGCGATGTGCTTCTGCGGCGCTTCGCTGCAGACTACGTCGAAATTGGATAGCACTGCTTGTCTTTTCGGCACCCCGTTTCTTTACACGACTGTCCGTCGTGGCGCAATGAGCTCGCCTTGCTTCTAGGCTCATTTAGACGTCGCCCTCTCTTGCCCGTCGTCTCCTTGAGACGTCGAGTACTGACACACTCAGCACGTCACCCCTTCTCTTCAGCTAACTCCTCTTTAGTTCAACCCTTCCTCTTGCGAATGCGAAGCATTAGGAATACTGCGGCATTCGCAGTGAGCCCCTCATTTCGCGGCCACCTCATTCGTGTGATCGGGAGAGCAGAACGGCGCGTGTTCCTCACTTTCCCGTCACCCGCACATGCGTATGATAAGGAGAAGAGGAAGAAAGTGTACCTCACTGTACCACGAGTGCGCATGCGTGCTTAATGAAGGGCATTTGTGGTGCTGCTACCCGGCCTTGATATGATACATGGTTATTAGGGACATTAGGTATGTAACGTAGGACCACTCTCCGCCACTAAGGGAAGTGAGCGATAGCTACACGTCCATCTTTTAGTTCACTATAACCGTAGTGCAGGTATGGTGTCTGAGCGCGTCTTCGACTGGTGTGTTCAGCTTCCTACGCTGCCCATACATCAAAAGTGGTACCGAACCGGTAACAAATGACGTTACAGAAGCCCAAGTGCCATGCTGTTGCATGTCGTGATCCTGGCGGTTGGTCGTAGAAGTGTGAAAGAGAAGGCTGCGAGTAGCACAACCTAATGCGAGTGTCGATGTCGTCAGGGCGTCCCAACCTCTGGCTGCCGAAGCTTCCGTGGGCTGCCACACTGGAGAGCGACCTGCAGCGGATCAGGCATCTGCCACATACACCGCAGCTCTTGGAACACCGCCAGGATTGCGACCGGCGACAGCATGACACCTCTATGACGTCACCAGGCGGATATCAAGGACCCCTTTCTTGGACGCGGTAAAAACACCAGACCAAGACGCGTTCCAGGCACCAGGTCCCGACGGCAATTGTGAGATACTAGTGAAGCAGGGTAAGGCAAGACAATGGGACAGGTAACGTTTCCACGAAAAAGACTTGTACTGTTAGACTGATTTAAGGCGAAAGCCTTATATGCCTCATCTTTCAGTTGACCTTCAGAGTCCCTGAGCTGAAACACGTCGGCGACACGAAAGATACCGAAACATAGACTTGACCACTTAGTGGATGACTGAGTGAATTAAGATGAGGGCTCAGCACATTGAGAAGGACGACTCAGCACATTAAGAGAGATGACTGAGCGAGTAAATACCATGTCTGTATTTAATGGATCGGCGCTTGGGCTTTCGCCTTCAAGTCGTCTTAGAGATAACCTATGAGACCCTGTGAACTGTTTTAGTTTATGAGGCATTTCGAATGGGACTGCCCTGGTGATGAGTGATTCGCGCTCAAAACGTCTTACTAAACTACACACTATAATGACCGTACTTTTTTTTTTGTTTGACATGTTTATGTAACTAATCGAAGTTTCAAACAAAAGCAAACCTAGAATGGGTCACAAATGTAAGGCTTATTGATCACACTTGCATCGATGACAGAAAAATGACATGTATTAAAGTTTCAACATTAAGCTTAAAATCCGGCCGACTAATGAAATGATATGAGTCATACTCACCATAAGGGCATGCTTTGCGACACTCCCGTTTAGTTTTAAACTTGTTTCTCACGTTGGCACAGTTTGTGTCTTGCACGCATCTTTCGGTCTCACTGTCAAAGTGCCAAGTCCGAGGCGGCATCTCTGATGGCCGTGGATAGCAACCAGTGACAGCTCGGGGCTGGTAGCACAGAGTGTCTAGACGGGAAATTGTATTCACATGTTTAAAAGTTATATTAAACTTTGGTGTACGAATGCCTCATTGAAATACTTTCTAGCAGCCGGAAATGTAGCATTTTACCGCCATAGGAACTTCATACTGTTGGCACACGCACAAATTACTTAGTTTCAAATTTGTTGTCTGAACCTCGACAACGCTGTTGAATATTAGTGTTGCGTGTCGTACTCACGTGTTTTGCATGCCGCCTGGCACTCTAGCTCTGTTGGAAACATAGACTGATTTTTTAAGCAGGTAGTGATATTCACACATGTTTGTTTTTCAATGTTAAATGTCCAACGTTGCGTTCTGCTATTTCCCTCGGCGCAGTCGGAACTTGAGGAGTTTCCAAAACATGAATCTATCGGAAAAAATATCACGATTTTTGTATACACTCCAAATTTGTACTCTAGCTCTGATTTATATAACGCATTAACTTTCGCAAAAATGTTAATGCTATATGCGTGTACCATGACTCCATTTGAATGGAGTCATGGTACCCCGCAGGTCGGTGCACAATTCCTTTGTGTGGCGTTTCTCGTGGCTTCTAGACAACCTCGAGCAAGGGCTGCTGGAAGACGACGAGATGTTTTTCCTCGGTGAGAGTACTCAATTAATTCCTTCTGTATGGGGTGGCTGTGCACCGCTTGAAAACGACAGTGCACGCAAACTGTGCTGTGCCAAACATCAACAACTGTGCAAGCACTGTGCATATACCTCTGGCACGCCTTTGCAAAGACTATCCAAACGAGCATCGTGCTAGGAAAACACATAGTAGCAAACAACTATTTTCGATGTTTGCTTGAGGTCGATTTCGAGAAAGGACAGAATATAATATTCATCCTCTAAATGTGCAGGTAACAGCGGCTACAACTTGGAGCCTCGACTAATCATTCATGCTCCTGGAGTTCACGCGACCTTCGTTGATTGAAGGCGCATTTTTTGGTTAGGTCAGTTGTGGAGCGCTCCAGTGGGCTTTTGAAAAACAGATTTCGGTTTCTGCAAAGGCACCGGACTTCGTATCATTTTCCATTAGTACCCACCGCCATAATAACGGCGTGTGCGGGGCAGCATGGAGTGAGCCATAACCGGAGTGAGTCTCCTTACCTGAAGAGCCCTAGTTGCAGTCTCAACTGAGGTCGGACAGTTCTGATTCGAGATAACAGAGATCAGCGTCGAATGGTGAGAGGCTAATACCTGCATACCTTTGGACAGCGAAACGGCTCTTAGACAAGGCTTTGCCTCACGGTCCGGGACCCGCCGCAGGCATGCCCACGATGTGCGCCACGCACACCACGTTAGCAGTCCCACCCACCAAGGACACCGCCGGCATCAATGAATCCGTCACCACGGCGGTGGTCCCGCGAAACGAGGGACCCCGTTGTAGAGTCCATTAAGGCCTGTTGACACACTTGCAACCGAGTACGACCGAGAGAGACGAGACCTGTTGAAATCCCTTAAATTGCTTAGGACGAGTGAACACAATGGCATGCTGGCGCCATCTATGCGGTGGCCCCGGAACTGCATTTCAGAAGAGCAAAGGTTTTACGGGATTTCCGAGGTGAAATCTGCGTAGATGAGAGAGGCTCGTTTATAACGTTGACAAAAGTTTTTCGAGCCAAGAAAGATAGGATAATGCGCGAGAGAAATAGAAAATATGCCGGACCGCCAAGTTTACACTGCTACCCAATAGATGGCGCCAGTGTGTCCTCTCGTTGTAAGAGATGTCAAGAGGTTCCCAGGCACTCTGTTCTAAGAGGTCACAAGTGCGTGAACGGGCCTTTACAGTTCTCCCCACGGTGGTGCCCAGCACTGACGCCGCAGGCGACAGGAATTGCCCCTTGCCGCCATGACTGAGGTCCCGACCGCCAAGGACCCTGTCGACACCTTGCGGTCAGGGAAGTCCTCCCCGTGAAAGGAGTCAAGTGCGCACTTGGCTTACTGCTGAGAGTCATGGCCATACATAAGCTACGCAGTCTCTTCAATTCCAACAACTTGCACAGTTTGTCGCAGTGCGACTGGGCTACGTTTGGAGACAGGGGCTCCAGCCTCCGACATTGTGTTGAATTCATCGCGGTTATATCGATAAAGCCTTTCCAGTTTTGAAGCAGAAGGCATAAAACGCGTGGGACAATGACCGAGAAAGTGTAGAGAGTTATGTGCCAAACCAACAAAAAACATCTGGCCTGTGACAGCAAAAAAGCGATAATTAATTTACACCGCCTGTAGACCTGCAGAGACCTATTTCTTACACCCCTGCCACACGGCAAAGTTAATGTCATTTCCATCGAATGAGATTATGTGATCGGCGAATCAGCTCGCCCTTCTGACTTCGTGCACATCATTGCGGCAGGAGTGGCGCGCGCTGATTGGACGATCTCATAATCTTATGCGGTCGAAATGACATTAACTTTGCCGCGTGACAGGGGCATTAGCCGTTGAATAAACCATGGATTACTGACATTTTTTGCCAGGTGTGCGTCCCGATGTTAGAATTATGATTAGTGTCAGTTTAGGAGCTCTCATGACATTACAAAGCCAGTTTGTTTTCAAAAGGGCTTTACTCCTATATACAAAAACCGTACCTTGAAAAAGTAAAAATATGCGAAAACATGGCTTGCAATATTTCAATATTGAAAGTAAAACTGAACACTGACTACCATAGCATCATGTAAATACGTGGGCATCCTTAAGGATATATCACAGATGTTGTATCAAACACTCTTCTTCTATTTAAGCACGCTTTGATGCACACTGCATCTAGATTGCATTTCCTCATACATATCAGTTGATATACACGAAGACATGTTATATTAAAGACAAGTTTAAATGCCGTTAGATAACGCTATTGATAAATGGGCACGGCGAGACCGACAGGAGCCTGTTTGCCAAATCTTCGTTATTTTTCGTACAAGGATGGTCAAAATACCTCCTGCTTTAGAACAAGCAATGTGTTTCTTCTGATTGTGTCGTCCTCACGGACTTGTCTTGGTATAGCATACGATTGCTTGAATGTGTGCAGACTGCTTGTATGTGGGAATGGTGAAAGCAATCCTGGTGCTACGACTGAGGAAATGTTTGCTCTAATATTAAATGGCCAAAACGCCATACGCATTGAAATCGCTGACACTAAAGCTCACAGGGTAAAACTGAAAGTATGATCAGTGATCTGGACAAAACATTTATTGATATGGGCAAGCTTGTGCAGGAACTCGGGGTTAAGAGTGATAAGATCGATACATTCGAAAGTGGTGTAACTGTTTTTGAAATTTCACTAAATGTTCAAAACAGGAAGACTGCAGATTTGGAAGACCGAAGTCGGCGCTCCAATTTGTTAGTTTAAGCTATTCCTAGACCCCCTATGAAGCCGAGGAACAATTGAGAAGGAAACTCATCTCTGATGTGCTCGTCAGCAGGTTAGGTGTTCAGTGTTCATCGATCGCTAGAATACACAGACTTGGCAGGACTAGTGGGACAATGTCTGTTACCACATTTTTTCAAGGTAACACCGAAAAGCGAGCCGTTCTCCGAAACACCAGAAAACTGAAAGGCATTACAATCTACATAAAAATGATTACTTACAGCGTACATTATCTAAACGCAGGCTTTTTTGTGAGAGTGCGAAGGCTGACAAAAACGCAGGAAATGATTATCACTTGTGAATGATAAACTTCGGGTAAATAATGAGTTCTATATGCGGGATGACTTGGCCAATAAGCACGTGAAGCTCCCTTCTTTTACGCATCCTGAACCCGTTGAATGGCGAGACGCTACTGTTGTCACGAAGTAGCTACGGTTTCCCAATTTAAATGCCCAAAGTATAGTAATCAAAGTGGAGCAGTTTGAACTTTTATTGCTCAGGCACGACACCCACAAAGCAGTTATTACTGAAACCTGGCTTCAAGACAACATCAGCAACGACAGCGTCATATCTGATTCCCCTGAAATGTATCTCAGAGGCCGTCCTTCCCGGGTTAGGGGGGGGGGGGGGGGGCGATGTCACTGTAGTACCTAAGAATGGTATTGTCGCAGCACTTTTGAATCAAATTGACAACCACAAGAGTATGTTTGAAAGAAGTTTTGGGGAAACACCGTTATTTTATACGCTGTGTACAGGCGTTCCAATTCCCTCCTGATTTTTTGTATAAACTTTTCAGTCCCATGTCTGCTTATTGTAACTTTAGGTTTCTTGTGGTTGGTGATTTCAATCTTCCAGATGTTGACTGGGCACATTTATCTTCTAAACCTTGCCAAAATGCTGAGGTTGTTTTTTATACTATATTTGCCTATGACGTAGTTCAAGTTGTGAATGAAGTAACACGTGAGCAAGGTTCTAATAGCTCAATTTTAGGCCTCGTTTTTATTAATCGTTGGATAAATGACAGCACGGTAACAGTTGAATGCGGCCTCTCTGATCATAAACTTGTGTGTTTTAGTTGCTCTGTAACCAAAAAGTTTAAAAATAATGTACTTTTACTACAGTTCAAAACGTTTTACGTGTTAATGATAAACGTGTTCTAGCATATTTAGAGCTGTGTTTGGATGATTTTCAAGATTCTGATATAAATGTCCTTTGGGACAAATTTAAAGCAATATGTAATTATCGTCTGGATAACTTCGTCCTAACCAAGCGCAAGCCCATTGGTAAATCAAAACCTTGGATTAACCGAGGAGTTATTCATCTTAAATGCAGAATTAAGCGACTGAAGAAAAAAAGAGACTGTAATCAAGGTTTGGTTTAGGAATTGAAAGGAGAACTTTTGACGCAAGTTCAGCATGCCAAGGAATTTTGCCTTTACAATACTCTTACAAGCTTCGTACAAAATGATGCCCAGAAATGTTGGAATTATCTCCGCTGCAAAACCGATCGTTCAATTTAAGGTTGATGACGCATTAGTTTCTATGCCAAGTTAGATTGCGCAGCATTTCGACGTTTAGTTTCAGTCGGTGTTTTCTGACCCTGACGTTCTCAACCGTATGAGAACATGCCATCCTTCATGCATGTTGATTTCATATCTTTCAAGTGCGTTTGTTTTACACACTGCACGATTTAAAGCGAAAGCTCGTTGTGGTCCTGATAAGATCCCCACCGTACTTGTCCATCAGTATGGTGAGATTTTCGCACATTTTGTAGCAGTCATCTTTCCTGTTTTTTTTTTCCTCGGGTACTTTGCCAAACGATTGGCTAATGGCGCGCGTTGTGCCTGTGTTAAACAAATCTGACCGACATACATTGGGCAATTACCGACCTATATCCTTGACATGGACGTCCTGTAATCTATTGGAACATATTATCGCTATTCAAATTACCAAGTTTCCTAACGAAAATAACGTAATCTCGCTCTATCAGCATGCAATAAGGAAGGAATTCTCTACGGTTACGCAGCTAGTTTCCACTGTTTACGATTTTGCGTCCATACTAGATAAATCAGGCACTCTCGATGTCATTTCTTTTTACTTTAGTAAGGCCTTCGACTTGGTACCTTTCAGAAAAT